TAATTTTGTTTGCAGAATTATGTAAGACTTTTTTAAAGACTTCTGCTCTATCTGGAGTACAAGCCCTGAGCAGTGATTACCAGGAGCTGTAGGCTGGCCTGGCTTTACCGGGTTCTCTTGCTGTTTCCTGGGTATTAGCTGCAGACCTTTTTCTTGCAACCACATGTGTCAATATTTAACTCCGTTCACTGGAGCTATTTGGATACATCACTACTGGCATGGAGAAGTCTTCAGGACTCATCAGTTTAACCCACCAAGTGCTGCAGCTGTTTTAACTGCTGCTGCCCTGCTGCTCAGAGATGGATCAAGGTGGCTCATCCCGGGCATGGCTTGGTAATTTGTTCACCAAAAAGCATCTCTGTAGGTTTGTGAGAAATGAGCTGGGGGGGGGGGCAGGCGGAACTTGCGACTGGGGACATGTGCAAAGCTCATTAATATCTCATTATGTTCGAATTGCAGTCTCCCAGCAGATTGGCATTAACGTGTGATGTGCTGGAGGAAGGGGCTACAGGAGAGCGGCAGGGATATTTTAAGCAAGCTTCTTTTTTTTTTTTTCTTTTTTCCTTTACATTGAAGAAGCGGAAAAAATAGTGTGCGCAGGGCAAGGCGCCAGCAAACCACGATGTTTTGTGCATCAGCCCAGTACAGTACACTTCATCAAACAAGAACAGTGCTCAGTTTGCCTTATCATAGTACCCACTAGCATCTTTCAGTATTTCTAATAAACCTCCTTTATTTTCAGGAGGGCTTAACTGAGCTGTAAAATTTGGCTCAGTGTGAAACTTCCAACATTGAGGATCTCAGCTCAGGATTAATTCCCCCTACTCCCAACTGGACAGAGTGGGGAGTCTGGGGGGTACTTCAACATTTTGATCCCTTCTGTAAGTTTGTAGATAGAATGATGTCTGAAATACTTTTTCTCATGCTCCTATACTGAAATAGCTTTTGTTTTATCCTTAACTGGAGCATTACAGTCATTAGCTTATCAGCTGATAAGCTGCAGTCATTAGTTTATCAGCTGACATCAGTGCCTGTACTGGATTCTGCAGGACCACATACATTTTTCTGATAAAATCTTGGCTGCCATGTTACTGGGAAAATACCCATTAGTTTTAGGGCCAGTTATTCCTTGACTTTCTGTATCTGAGCGTATAAATCCTCTCAGAAAGTAAAAGGCAGCTCCCAGCAATGGCTTATCCAGAAAAAGAACAAAACAGTGAAGGACTTTACGTAGCAGACTCTCCTCCTTGTGCTCCTAGTTACTGAGTTGCATGATTTATCTCAGTAAACTTCCATTGAGAAGACTGGAGTCACAAGAGGGACAGAGAATATACTTCTTTTGTACTCTGCAGCACTGGGCTTTCATGCAGAAGTGTTTTACTGACACATACCAATGAAACCTATGGGTTTTGCTTTTCTGCATACAAAAATCATTTTAATAGGTGTTGTATTTGAGGAGACATTTATAGCCAAACTGTAAGAAAATTCTTCTTCTTCAACTCCTTTTGTGCTACATGAGCAAAACAACGGTTAAATTAGCTCTCGCTCTTATGAAAGGCTTGCAGGCCCATAGATCTTGGTTCAGACTGCATATTATGTTTGAACTTTATTGCCCAGGCTATTTGTTATGTGTTTATCCTTCCTAGTAAACTTTCTTTTGCTTTTATGGAACAATATTGGAGCCCTCCAGTGGCCAAACTAATCATTCTGACGAATGGAGTTCAAGTTCTGCCAAGGAGGTTGATTTTTTTCCTTACCTATTAAAAAATTAATTTGATCATCTTTTTTATATTTGGAATGTATGTGGAATTTATTTGAATCACAGCATCATATGTGAAAGCTAAGGAAAGGTATGAAAAAGAATAAATAGTCTCTTTGCGTATCTAGGATCTCCATATGTTTATTCTTCTGTATTTTCAAAAATTAAATGAGTCGATTGTTTAAATAAATTCGGTTAGATTACATTTTCTGAGAGGATCCCATTATGCATATGAAGCAGAGAAAATACATTTTGAGTATCATGACAATTCACATTTTCTTAAGTGACTCTATCAGTGCTGTAACTTTTTATCTATGATGTGGCTGGTCTGTTCTCTAGCAAAGCCTGATTTTTGTACATGACATTGTCATTCGTATCAGGGGCCTGGGCCGGTTGAAGATTTCGGCCTCAAGGCTCCCTCGTCTGCTGTTCCCGCTGGTGTCTTTCACTTTCCATGGCCTTTCACTGTGATACCCACTCAGTGTATGAAATAATCTATTTTATTTATATTGTATGCCTTGGATATTAGTAAGAAGAGTTCTCCTTATAAAGAATGTTAAGAGCCTCTAAGAACTAAAATCGCTTACTTATGCCTTCTCTTGTTTGGTATGACAGTTCTTCCTTTAAGTTATCAAACTGCAATAATAATCTTTAGAAGCCCAAAATCAGATAGGTAGGTCATGATTATGTTGGAGCTGGGAGTTTTGGAAGGATGTGAGAGATGACCAGGGGAAGAGGAGAAAGTATGGTCATTTGTTTATCTTTTAATAGGATGACCGCAGTCTGGCATTCGGTCCATGTTCAAAAAGCAGTTAAGCAAGTGCTTAAGGTTGTTATTCCTGCACCGACCGCTCTTTATTTAGGAGTCACTGGAAATGAGTTTGTACCACTTCGCGTTGTATAGCTGCAGCTTTATAAAATCATGTATCATCATCAAAATGCTTCAGAATGAGAACATTCAAAAACTGGTAGAGGAAGTGTTCTGTTTCGGGGTTTTTTTTAGTAAAAACCTTCTAAGTAGCTTTTCTTCTGCAGGCACTGTTGGTATAAGAACAATTGTACTGGGTCATCTCAAAGGGGCATTTAGCCCAATGTCGTCTCTGCGACAGAAGTCAGTAAGCAGAGTGTAAGGAACAGAGAGTCAGCCTTCCCTGGCATGTTCTCCCATCTTCCAGCCATCACAGGTGTAAGAACAACTCGCTGAGCCCATCTGTGAGCAGTTTGCTTTTGCAGCCCCCTGAATACATGAAGAAGGTTTCTTCTTGTTCTTGAAGGGTGGGGTGAAAATGACAAAAGCCAAGAAACAGTTGCAGCAGAAACTTCTTACTTGCACTGTAGATAGGGGCAGGTTATGCAAATTCCTCTCATCGACAATAGCTGGAATTCCTGAAGCAACCCTAGGCATTGTTTCCTTTCATGTTTTTTATGTGAATTTGAGAATTGCTGGAGGAGATGGATGCCCAGCTCCAACTGACTCTTTGAGGAAACAGCTAATGAGGTCGTTTTTTCTCATGGCTTTTCCCAAGGCCTGTAGACACCAGCAGAGCTGGGAAGAAAGCAGTCAGGTAGATGGGGAGAGCCTGATCGCTGAATATGAATATGCACTGAGGGCGGGAGCAAGAAGGGGCCTTGTAACTGTCAGAAGGAAGGCTGATGCTCTGGAGCCACTTTGCCTTCTGCAGCCACATAACTTATGTGTGAGGCTGTTGAGACATGAACTGTGAAAATATGGGAAATGGTGACAGGAGAGGAAAAAGGATGGGGCTATGCAAGGGGGGAGCAAATGTTCCCCACCTGTCTGATGCACATTTCATACCCAGCTGCCCAAAGCCTCCCATCACCACACAGAGCTGCTGCCACTGTTGCTAGCTTGCCACTTGATTGTTGTAGCCTCCTCTGATGGCTGCTGCCACCCAGATGAGAGCTTCAGGGATCTGGCAGAGCTGTGGTAAAGCAGAGGAAGCAGAGACCAGTTGTAGCTCTTAGCCCCTCAAGGGGCAGCAGCATGAGATCAGCTTTATCCCCAGGGGCTCCTGCCTGTGTGCCTTTACTAAGAGAGGTTGGAGTGTAAGCTGGAATGCCAGAGCGCACAGGCTGGCTGTAGCCCTGCTGTGCTGAGACGGCGAGGCGAATCTGTATGGTTCTGTGGTTTAGTCTGAATCCTTGTGGTCTGAACCTCTGCTAGACAGTGGCTGCATGGAGAGACGGCGTTCCCGAGTAGGGCGCTGTGCCCTGCTGTGTTCCCCCCGCAGCTCCGTAGGGAGCCTTTCACCCAGTACCCATTTAGTAGCTTGCTGTCCGGTAACATTTCCAAGCTCTATGCGGACAGAACATCCTTGGGTAGTTTATGCTGTTGTACAGAGGCACAGGGAACACTTGAGGGGAAAAATATCTGCTCTAGTTTCAGGCATTGCAGTCCTTTCTCATTAGCAGGGAGAGAAGGCTGGCACTACTTTACTGATGAGTCAGGAAAATCCTCTCTGTTTGCAGTGTCAGATGCTTCTAAGACAATTATTGTGGGTCTGAATTTGGAGTTTGGCAATACAGCTTTGGTTTTGGCAAAAAAAAATTTTAAAATAGTGGTGACTTACATCCCCAGACATACTGAGACCATGGTCTCCTTCAAATCCTACAGCCACCAGGACCCACAATATTCAAGGTTGGTTCTTGGCCTCTTGTCTTCCACCTGGCATTGAAGAAAGTCAGTCTTGGGCAGCTGTGCATTTTAAAGCTGGGCCCTTAATGTAATTCTGAAATATGCTAATTGCCAGGCTTTTGTTTTCATCTGACAGTTTTGAAAAGCTTAGAAGAAAGGAGGAAAAATAAAAGAGTATTGTAAATAGCCCTAGGAAAAACCTCAACCTGCTGCCCATGTAATTTCCTTTAAAAACAAACTTTCATACTGTGCGAAGCTTTATCACACAGCGGATTTGCACACAATCCTATATGCCCTATATCTACATGATTTTCCATAATTTCTTAGGCATGCTTACTCTTTATTAAAGTTGTTACTAAGGTTACTACAACTTATTTAAGAAGGAAGAAGTGCTTGCTTACCCCAAAGCTTGTCTTATATTTCCCTGCTATCTGTACATCTAATTAAAAATACTTTTTTTTCTCTCTACGGACTTTGATTAGACCATCATGGTTATAACACTACTATTTATCTGGAATTTAAACTCACACACTCTCCTGCTACCTCTCCCCTTATCCTTGCCTCTTTTAAATAATCCAGAAGTGATTAAGCATGTAACTAAGCAAGAACTTGGAGCTGCACAACCTTCTTTCCCTTGGCGCTACAAGAAAGTAAGACTCTTTCCAAGAGCAAATGTAATATTATAATTATAGGCCAAACTATGAAGATTTCAAGCTTTTTTTCTTAGAGTTTAGTGAGACAAAACTGAAGCCTGACCCACGCAGACAGAAATCTTTATTAAACGCAGATGTCAACAGCAGTAGCATGTAATTAGTGTCCTAATTGTGACTGGGCAAATAATGTTGGTGGCTTGGGGAGAGTCCAGACGCAGGCATCTGACTGTGGATGCCTCTCTTTGAGCTAGTTACCGAGGCTCCCTTTAAGGTCAGTGAAAAGAAAAAGACACTTCTAGAGCATGATTTATCTCATTCCTATCTCAGCCTGGTATAGGAGATATGAATTGCATCCTTAAGACTGGAATGAATCGACTTGTTCTTGCCTGCAACTTTCTTAGGGTGCCTACAGGAGTTCCCAGGCTCTTTCTGGCTCTTTCTGTCCTGTTCATAGCTTTCCCCCCTACCTGCCCCCTCCGCTTTCTTTTTCCTGAATAAGAAAAGAAGGAAAAGCAAAAGCACCTATGGATCTGAGAAGAGACAAGGTATTTTATATTCCCGTTGGCTGGGCACAGGATTTGGGAGGTTTGAGTCCAATTCTAACCCGGTCACTGACTTCATATACAGCTTTAGGCGAGCTTCCTGCTGTTTTCTTAAGTGAAATGCAGTGGCTCAATATATGTTTGTATGTTTGCATCTGAATGACAGACACCATTTAAGTGCTAAGTGATAGTTTGCAGGTTTTTTGTTGGGTTTTTTTTTTGACACACAAATAGTTTTTTCGGTTTGGTTTTGGTTGGTTGGTGGTTTGTTGTTTGGTTTTTGTTTGGGTTTTTGGTTTGTTTTTTTTTTAATTCAGCCCACCTCTGTTTTACTCTGAGACCAAAATTCACATAATTCTGATAGCAGCCCAACAGTACTTTATCTCCAGACTTCGATTTCCAGAACTGAAAGTGCCTTAGTATTAGGTGGCTCATCAGCCCTACAACAGGAGAAAAAGGTTGGAATGAGAAGTCTTTTAAGAAGGAAAATAAGGTTAGTGGAAGCCTATTATATGAATTCACAGCTGGCTTATGGTGTATTTCTATGGCTTATCTAACAGGAAACTATGATGGCTTGTGCTTCATACCTCCAAGGGGTTTAGGAAAGAGCTGTAGTGTTCTCAGTGACTCAGTCTTACCTACAGCATCTAACAATAGCAAATGCTTTTTTGTCACCTTGTGTTTCTTTGACACTGTTAAAGGCACAAACTCAGTGGTGAATGGGACTTGAAGTCTAAATTTATTTGGATTAGCTGCTAATATATGCTTAGTGTGCGTAGCAACCCATGTGAGTATCATGGACAGAAACTACATGTGCATGTGTGCACGTGTGTGGAAAATGCAGGGATTTTTCTGGCCAGCAAAAGAAAAAATTTAAAAAACTGTGTTGTGCACAATGGGCATGTACGGACATATGTAGCATTATGAGTTGCAGTTCCTTTCCTTGGAGGGTTGTTTTCAAAATACACAAATAGATAAAAGTGCCTGATAGTATACTGGTGCACGGCCACAACTAGCTGGGAATTTGACTTGTCTAGCAGAGCGCTGACCACCTTTCTCCTTGTCTTCTTTTCCGTTTGTATGGAGACATCTCAAAGCCTTACACACCTTCGGGATTCAGTCAAACTTTTCCTGCCGTTGCTACAATGAGTTCAACCCCCCAACAGCTAGCATCTTGGGGAATTTGCCTGTAGACAGGCTGTTGCTGCTGTATTCTGAAGCACTGTGTTACTTTAGACAAGCTCTGAGTAGACCTGAGCACCTTTACTAATAGATGGCTTAAGAAGGTAGAGCTTTGTTTTCCCCATAACCATAGCTAACACTTTTCCAAAAGCATTCAGTGATAAGATTCTCTTGTGATGAAGTATCTTCAACCTTCAGGTAACAGCTTTTGGAGGACAGAGCAGACAAGTATGGGATGTCTATTCACAAGACTCTGGTTCCTGCTGAGGTGGGCCCTTGCCCACCTGTCAGTGTAGTTCCTTTAAATTGAGCACAGGCACCTTTTTTTTCTTGACATCACTCAGACATCAACAGAAGGAAGGCTCTAGGCCAGATGATTTTACAGTTACTGCTGGCATTTGCTCCTGGCAAGCACCTCTTCTAGGTGCTTTGCAGCTCATTGCCCACCACTGGACACATACCACACCTGTGCCCACCTTGGGTGTCATCACGTGACAAGCAAACGTTTATTTGCACTGTTGAGGAAGGTACTGGGGACACTGGGAGAAATGGTCCATGCTGCCCACTGTAAGGGCAGGAAAGCCAGGAGCAAACAGTATGAATTGCTTGGGCAGGTTTCCCATGGCTGCTGTCTTTGCTAGGTTCTCCAGGTATGTGTAGGGAGTGAAGAGATTCACCAGATTGCAACAAAGTGCATCCTTTTTAGGATCTGTCCTTTGGCAAAGCATGAAGCCAGTGCACGTGTGCAAATCAACTACACTATGTATGTATAGTCAGACTAGTGGTGGGAGAGGAGGTTTATCCTGAGTTGGAGACAACTGCTGTAGATTAAATAAGGAAAGTAAGACCTGAGTGAAGGTCTTGGTCTGATGTTGCTTTTCTTTGCATAAACCATTCTTTGTATTTTAGGTTGCTTAGGGTACTCAAGGTGAAGGTATATGCTGAATAAGGGACTTCATTTGCTTAAAATCTCTTTTCTTCTTCTTTACACTTCATCAGTAGACTTAAACAGTACATTTGCAGTTCACCCCACACAGCAGGTCTAGCCTTGGGACTCTGTGACTCTGATAATTGCTCCCTGATCTGGGAGGCCAGACATCAGTTGTTGTTACATGCCTTTGTGGGACCCAAGGTCAGCTTGAGGTGAAGGTACTGAGGCAACAAAGAAGTAAAGTTTGTATGGTTTGCTTGGCCATATTTAGGGCAAAGCTGCTATTCAGTGCTGTCTGGCATTTGGTGTGTGGCAAATAGCTCTCAAATTGTGCTTAGAATAATTCAGATCGTGTCTGGGGCATCCTGTACAATTCTTTGACTCCTTGAGTCTTCACAGATCTTCAATGATCCTGCCTTCTTTTTTTTTTAACAGTGCTGGCTATAACTTTTATTGAAAGCAAAAAAGGAATGTAAAGAAGAGTTGTTCTATCAGACTTGGTCTCCATCTCTGAAGAAATTTTGGTGCAGAAGAAGTGATCTTATCAATGGACCCCTAACTCCCAGTGAACTTAACAGGAGCTGAGGGCTTCAGCACCTCATGACTGGGCTATGGGTTTAGTACAGGAGTGCTACAAAACTGCTGCTGCATGCATTCTTTTAAATAGATATGCAAAGGCAAGGCAAACAAGAAGTTTCTAGCATTGCTCTTTGTTCCTAGAGATGGATCAAGCTGATTGTGCTGATCAGGGAACTGTTTGGGTGAAGGAAAAAGCCAGATCCATTTTGGATGTTTCTGACATCTTTTCTATTTTATAATTCTCAGTTAGTTGTTTGGGTTTTTTATGGTCTGTAGTCTAGCACAATTCTACTTCCAAATCCATCTGTCCCAAGTTGGTTTTTTTTTCCTTTCCCCAAATGACATGGCTCAAGAGCATAATCAGAATTAGGACTTCAAAAAAACATGAGTATCACTTCATGAACATGCAAAAGATTAATTTCACTCCCCCTTCCCCCCATGCTTGGGTCTCCTTTGCAATGCCTACTGTGCTTTTGTTTAATCTGTTCTTAGATAACTACACTCCTTTAAAAGTACTTTTCCTTGCAAAGAAACCTTCAGGTCACCTACGTCCTCAGACAAGCTGCACAGCCAGGCACGAGGGACAGCTGGGGAAGAGGAGGCAGGCTTATGGACACAAGCTCTGGGAAAAATTCACCATTTTGTCTGCAGCACAGTATAACTTGTCCCATTGTTGATTCACAAGATTTTTCTTTTCTGTGTGTTAGTTGTGAAAATCTGTTAATTCTGATCTTCAAATGGAAGTTTCATTTACACTGATGTCACCCCAAGAGGGTGACTAAACTGTGTGAGCTTGAACAGGTACAGTGTACAGACTGGCTCTCATTTCCTTCCTTTTCTGATAATATCAAACACTTTGCTTCGAAAAGTGTGAACTTGAACTTAATCATGTGGGAGAATCCCTGAAATTATTTACCCCACATTGATTTGAGGAACTGGAAGATGCTCTTTCATGCAGATCAGGGATAAGTAGCCATGTTGATGTGAGGTAGTGGTTGTTGGGAGTTAACACCAGTGAAATGAATGGGAGATAATCATACCGCTTCTGAGTTCAGCCTTCTGACAGCTTGCTATCGGTCTTTCAGAGATCATACGCTTAGACAGGCTTTGGTAAAAAAAGAGGTTGAATAAAGCTCATAGTCCATGGAAACCAACAGTGTCATTGGGGGAGTACTGTCATGCCTTCACCATCCCTTGTCTCATCTGTCTGCTTCTTTGGAGTTTCTCCAGGAATATTCTGGAATATTGTATTATGCATGTAGATAGTGCCATGGCAGTACTTTGCATGCAACTGGAAGGTAATTTGCTTGCTCTAAGCACAGGAAGGGCTTCTCTCTTCCAGCAGTTAAGATTTCAGTCTGTGGTTCTGAAGCCATAAACAGAGTTTACATCCTACCAGTGCCTTAGTAATGAAGGAAAGCAGAGGCTATGTCAGAGAGCTGCTGCTCCTTTGCAGAGCACAAGAACACTTTCCTATCCCAAATGCCCCTTCACTAGGCAGGCAGGGCACCACCAGCACACTTGGCTAGTTTGCTACAACTTGTGCCTATCCAAGGATGAATTGGGGCAAAATTTTCCCTAGGAGATTGTTTCTAGTGTCACATGCAGTTTAAAGAGCTAGTGAGTAGTGAGTGAGTAGCTACGGTGCATGTGCAACAACACTGGATGTGTTGCTTTGCTGCTTCTTAATTTAAAACACAAGAGGTTCCTGCATTTCTTTTCTACCCTGATTTGCAGGAGTTCTTCAGGAGGCACAGCTTTAA